AAAAATAACAGCGCCTGAAGGATGCGGATGTTTAGTCTGATTCTGTCATCGACGGCTCTCTGCCGTCTCTTTGTATGGAGGAGCCAAGCAATCCCCTGCCCTTCTCCAGGGCAACTGAGGCAGAGAGCAGCTGGCTCCTTCGCTCCAGCCAGTGAACGTCCTGCTTCCGCCATCCCAAGCTCCCTGGATTCCGCCATCCCAAGCTCCCTGAACGGTGGATCAGCTGCTGCACGTACACCCAGATTGCCCGCTAGGCCGCTGCCTGGTTTGCTGTTTGCATGCTGCATTCTCGAGGCCCTATGGACTTGTCCGAGCCAAGCTTGTCTCTCTCTCCTGCTCTCCCTGCACCTTCTGCTCTTGTCTCTGTCCCTCCATGCCAGGTCCCCTCTATTGGTGCAGTGACCAGTAACCACTTGAGCCCACAGAGCATTGTTGTATCGGGATTTTAGGAAAGCTGTGGACAAATTGGAGAGTCCAGAGGAGAGCAACAGAAACGATCAGAGGTTTGGAAAACCTGACCTATGAAGAGAGGTTGAAAACACTTGGTGTGTTTGGTCTGGAGACGAGAAGGCTGAGGGGGGACCTGATAACAGTCTTCAAATAGGTTAAGGGCTGTTAGAAAGATGGGGATCAATTGTTCTCCACCTCCACCAAGGGTAGGACAAGAAGTGATGGGGGCTTAATCTGCAGGAAGGGAGATTTAGATTAGATATTCGGAAACCTTTTGAACTCTAAGGAGACTTCAGCACTGGGACAGGTGACCTAGGGAGGCTGTGGAGTCCCCGTCATTGGAGATTGTTATGAATAAACTAGACTAATGCCCAGGGTCAGATTAATCTTTTGTGGGCCCTGGCGCCTGGACCATGGCCCTGCTCTGCCATGAGGCCCCGCCCCCACTTGGCCTTTTCCCCCCAAGGCCCTGCCCACCGCTCGCACAGGGGGAAGGGGGCAGAGAGGAGCGACGGGGGGGAGGGGGCGGAGAGGACCGGGCAGGGACTTGGGGGGAAGAGGCTGAGTGGGGGTGGGGCCTCAGGGCGGAGCCTGGGTGGGGCAGGGGGCGGGGCCACAGTCCGGGTGCCAGGGCCCCTTCTGAGTGTGGGCCTGGGGCCTTGGCGCCATTGTAAACCCGGTACTGCCTGTGCCTGTCAGGGATGAGCTAATTTTACTCAGTCCTGCCTCGCCCGGGGGGCTGGCCCAGCTGACCTCTCGAGGTTTCGTCCAGCCCCACGGTACAATTCTCTGCCCCAATCGCGTTTCATCCCGGCACGTCCGAAAGTGCAGATGAGATGCAGCGATGTCACGGCGCACAAACTCCGAGAAGCAGCTACAAGCCCGGGCTGGCAGATCTCTGCAGCGGTTCCAAGAACATAAAGGAGCCGGCCGTGTTATAAACAGCAGAAATAAAACACAGAGCCAGACAGGAACGTTTCCAGCCACCTCCCTCCCTGGTGTAATTCCAGTGAAATCAATGGGGTTACCCAAGGATGAGAAGGTTCTGTCTGTTTATGGTGGTGATTTCTACTGTCAATGCAAATCTGTGGCCACTGGGAGTCAGGGACTTTTTGAGATGAGAGGAAGGATGGTCCTGTGGCGAGGGCAGGGCTGCGACTCAGGAGAGCTGGGTTCAACAACTGGACTTCCTAGGCAATCGTGGGCAAGTCATTTAAAACAAAATACCCGCACCGTGCCTCAGTGTCTCCATCTGGAAATGGGGGGTAACGATCCTCGCGTTCTCCTCCCCTTTGTCTGTCTTGGCTATTTAGACTTTGCGCTCTCGGGGGCAGGAACGGTCTCGCACTGTGTGATGGCGCTGCTATGTGCTAATAGCAATAATAGCACCTGGTTCGTACCTAGCGCTGTCATCAGCAGATCTCAAAGCTCTTGCCGAAGGTCAGTGTCATTCTAAAGGTAAATGTCGCTATTCTCCGGGCAGAGGTTTTAATTTAAAACGGGATGAATTTTCTAGCCCTTCGCTATGTCCCCGGTGCCTTGCTGGCGTGGCTGTCTGACAGCCTTCAGAGCCGGCAGGATTCAAACCCCATCGTCCCCCACCGGCTGTCACAGGCCCAGAACGCTGCAGTCGTTAGCCAAGCCTTCGACCGGCTGGGTTTGCACAACGGAGCCCTCGCAAAGCCTCAGCCAGACGCCCGCCCCAGCTCAGAATGGCTTTTTCCTCTTCATCAGGCCTCCTCCACGTTCCCAGCGGAACCGAGGCAGCATAAAATCCAGCCGACCAGTCTGGAGCAAGCGGACGAGCGCCAGGCCCCGAAACAGAACGTGAATGGGCCCCTGGAAAGAGACATTTCCACAGGTAACTGCCAGAGTCCATTAATAATATCTCGCTCTTTGACAGCGCTTGACCTCCATAGATCCCATGATGCTTTGCAAAGCTGCGTGTGCTTTACTATCCCCATTTTGCAGATGGGGAAACTGAGGTATGGTGATAAGTGACTTAACCAAGCCCACGCAGTGAGTCAGCGGCAGAGTCAATGCCAGGTTGCTAGGATCCCCAGCTTCATGCTCTGTCTACCAGATCCCAACTGTCCCTACAGGTCTCAATTCTGACTTCAGTGGGGCTGCATTCACCTGGTTGTTAGCGAGGACCGATCGTGCAGTAATAGAAGGATCGGGTTTTGCTAGCTCCCAGCAGCGCTCTCCTGGCCCCGGACACACAGAGCGTTTAAGCAGAGGAGTTTCTCAGGCAGAGTCCCGGCCATCGGTGTGAATGGGAAGCTGCAGGGAGAATAGGCAGCCGTGCTGAGAATGTCTAGTTAGCTCAGGGATACGCACCCTCAACGAACCGGAGAGATGCTTGGCTATCAAATGGAGTTGCACAGCTGGTGGGTAAGGGCTGGAGTACAGACCCCTGTGGCACCCACAGCAAAATGCCCTGCAGAGCAGGGCCCACCATCCCTTCTGCTGTGTTTGTACCGCACCCAGCACAGCAGGGCCCCGACTCTGGCCTTTGGGTGCTACTCGAATGCAAATGTTAATCATAACCTGTGCAGGGGGCGGTGTGTCCGGTCTGTGCCCAGCAAGCAGGCAGAACCGAGCGCTGGTATCAGCAGCACCAGGGCTGGGAGTGGCCGCAAGGCTGTTGGGGAACGGGGCATTGGGAGCCTGGGGATGGGAAGACAGGTAGCAGGAACCTCACAATGCGGGAGCACTGGTGGGGGAGGAGCTTGGCTGGTGCTGGGGCCTGTGATTGGAGGAGAAGGGGAGGTGGGGGATTGAAGACACTGGTGCATTCCTAGGTGATCCTCACCCCCTCTACAAAATATACAAGACCAGCCCTGCAGCCTGGCTTTATCCCCGTGGTGCCACCATGCCCCCTCCCCCGGTGAGCTCTCTGCAGCATCTAACCAGCTGGCAGGTGCCGGGTGATTTACTGTCCTTGGCTATAGTAAAGTGACTTGATTCTTTCTTCCAGTCTGTGCCTTTTGCCACAAGGCCATTGCCCCCCGGACCCCGACCATAGAAGCCATGAACAGACAGTACCACGCGGACTGCTTCACGTGCCGGACGTGCCACGGCCAGCTAGCGGGGCAGCGCTACTACCAGAAAGAGGGCCGGCCAATGTGCAACTCTTGCTACAAGGTCAGCGCAACGGGCTCCTGGTCGTCCCAAGAGGCCAATGTCGTTCTGTTCTCAGGAGTCAAATCCGGCTTCCGAGGGAGCCCCTGGGAAAGTAGGAGGGGTTCAGAGTTCGGCAAGACTAGCCGACCTGCAAGGGTTCCTCAGATACAGAAGTGCCCTACTCTGGGAAGACCCATCTTTGTAATGCCACCGCTACTGGCTCAGACACGGGTCTGTACAGAACAAGGGCCTGATCCTGTGGGGTGCGGGGTGGTCTCAACTCCCAGGATCTTCGGGAGGAGAAGTGAGGGGTAGGTTAGCCTGAGGATCAGTCCCAAGCAGATCTAAAGCAGGGAACGTGCCTGGTGCTGAGAGCTGGGGACGGGGAGTCCACGTTCCATCCCCCGCTCCGTGTCACCTACCGCAAGTTGTGTAGGTCAGCGTTTCCAAACGTGGCCTCTTGCTCCATGCGCCCCCAGTTCTGGCAACTCACCTTGAGGCACCCGGCTTTGGTTTTCAGTGGCACTGAGTGTCTTCAGCTTCAGCGCTCTGAAAATCAGGCCCCAGGTTCGTGTCATCCGCCAGCCCTGATCCAGGCCGCTTTTGGTAATCTAGATCTTCATGTCCGGGCCTTAACTTTAACCCCCTGCAAAATAGAGCCAACATGCATTTAATTTATGAATGTTTCGGAATGGGCTTGGAAATACCTAGCTGAAAAGTGCTACAGGAAGGCCTGGGATTCTCATGGTTACAGGCCAGAAGGACATTTGTGTCCTGGGAGCGTTTCCCATCCATTCGTGTCGTTCTTTGCAAAGCAGCAAAGGCTGCAGTCTTCCATTGGCTACGGTGGCCACGGGGCTTAGCAGGCAGCTTCTAGCGTGGAGGCGTGAATGGCTCTGCCACTGTGCCGGGAGAGTCTCTGAGACCACGCACAGCATTGAACTCTGGTTCCTCCCAGCTCTCTGGCCTGGCCGACCTCCCTCACTGCGTAGGTGAGGGCTGAATTGGGGGCGCAGCGAGGGGCAAATGGTACCATCCACTTCTGGTTTCTGCGCTTTATCTGCCTCTCTCCTTCCCGCAGGACACGCTGGAGAAATGTGCCAAGTGCCAGGGTCTGATCCTGGAGCACATCATCCGCGCCTTGGGGAACGGGTACCACCCTGAGTGTTTCATGTGCTCCGTGTGTGGGCGGAGCATCGGGGACGAGAGCTTTGCCGTGAATGACCAGAACGAGGTGCACTGCGTGGATGATTTCTACAGGTGCGATACGTTATACGTGGCGCGTCGGAGGGGTAGAAAGCTAGAGCGAAATCGCCTCTGCACCTAAACTACCCTCCTCTGCAGTTTAGAGAGCCCGATTCTGTTCAAAAGGTAAGTCTTGCGCACGTGAGACAACTTGAAGGGCCCGATCCTGCAAATCTTCCCTCCAGCAAGTAGCCTTTACTCATCCAATTCATCCCCAGGGCTCTTTGCCTGAGGAGTGTCTCCTTAGTATGCTGCTACTGAAGCCAATGGAGCAGGGTTGGATGCCAAGCCCGCAGGTGCAATAGATCCGATTCTCCCCCACTTTGCATCTCAGGGAGGCATTACTCCCCTGGGCAAAGTGGAGGTGAGCGACACCCAATCAGAATCTTCCATTCACTCCCGTGGTAGCATTTGACCAGGGCCCTGCGATGCCACCAGGGTGAGTAACGGCCCTCTGCTGGAGGGATGCTTTTCAGGGTTGCGTCCTTCACTTTGTGTCTTGTGTGCAAGACTTAATTTTCTTTTGCTCAGTTTCCCCCTTTAGTTCAATGTATTCATTATTCACCCCCGTCTAGTTCACACTGCAGTATTCCTAAACACCGGGGCTGACTCTCCTCTCATTCACGCCGCTGTGGTCGTCAGCGGAGTTCCACCAGTGGAAAGCTAGCGTCAAGGAGAGCAGAGACAGGGCCACAAGTGATTTCCTGGATAGCTCGGCCTGGCACCCAGCTCATTCCAGGCCGTCTGCCACTTCCGTTTCACGTGCAGTAATACAGAAGCCACGTAAAGTAACGTGGATCTAGCTTTAAATTGTGCTGCGAATTGCTACAGCGAATGGGCGTGGCAACTGCTGTGGCATAAGAGGTTGGCCGTTTGTTTCATCAGGAAGTACGCCTCCATCTGCAGCGTCTGTGAGACACCCATCATCCCACAGGAGGGGAAAGATGCCTACAGGATAGAATGCATGGGGCGAACCTTCCATGAAAGCTGCTATCGCTGTGAGGTAGGTCCTGCTGGGATGCTGCCGATTTTTTATCTTTTAAATAAACTCTTGGTGGCGGAGGGTGTAAAGTCCTAGAAACCACCCGGAGGCAGCCCCACACAAACAGGATTTTATTCCACAGACACAGGTTCTCTCCCTGGGTTATTGGAGAACTAAGCAGGTTGCTCATGGCCACGTCGCTTTCTGTGGCCAAGCCATTGCTCAGACATGCAGGCGAACAGGGATGCTTTCCACTCCCCCCCCACTCTGCAGCACGCACAGTTCAGAGAGTTCCAGGAACCCCTCCTGGTTCTGCAGCGGGCTGGCTTTACTGAGCACCCACCCCTTGTACTCGGCTGGGTGCGTGGAGCGTGTCCCCTGGAGGCGGCGGGTGCCCGGCTGGGTGCGTGGAGCGTGTCCCTGGAGGTGGCGGGTACCCGGCTACGTTCCAAGACCAGCAATCTGCTGCCCCCTCATAAAGTGTGCGTGGGAGCCGGTACCGTCTGTGGCCTCACTGCACAGGGTTTAATTGAATTCCTCCGGTGAAGGAGGGGTTTGGGCCCAGATCCTCATGCCCAGGCAGCATCTCATTGGCTGGACAGTCTGGGTGTCATGACCAGGATGCCACAGGCTGATTGAAACTGGCGAAAGTGGGGGCTGAGCCAGTAGTCTGCAGGAGAAGGTGCTGGGAGCACTACGTGCACTGGCAGCAATGGGGCTCGCTCATGGAGTTCCAAGTGAATGAAAGCGACAAAACGGAAGTAGTGTGTGGCCAGCAAAGGAAAGAAATTCCTGTGATGCTTGAGGCTTTAGAAATGACTGCGTTTTGGACTGACTTTTGATTGACGTGCTTTCTACCTCACAGAACTGCAGGATTCCCCTGTCCACCGAGCCAGCGGAGAACGGCTGCTACCCCTTGGACAGCCACGTCCTCTGCAAGCCCTGTCACATCAAACAGAAGAATGAATCGTTCTGCTAAGAGAGCCAGGCGGGCTTCCCCAGAAAACCGTGGACGCAGTCGCATGGCTGAGATGAGCCGAATCGCTGTACTATGGCAGTGTTCTTATCCTCTGCATTCATTTATGTCCAACTTTCTGTCCTGACTGTCTCTCTTATGGTAGGACCATATTAGTAGCTCTGAGCTGTAGCAGCAAAGTCCTACCACGCATGCTTCCTAATCGGCCATGCGACCAGCCCTGAGAGGTGGCAGTGGAACCGTCTTCTTCTCTCTTTCCCTCCTGTCTGGCTCTGCTTATCTTCCAAGGGTACGCCAGCTGGCTTCCTCTGCCCCCAAACGGCTCAGTGCATGGGACCACACCAGCAGCTGCTGATGGGACGAGTGAGATTAATTAAAATGATGTTACAAAGCAGGTAGGGCTCTGTCTCCTCACCGTGTAAATAACTCCCCTGCTGCTTTAAGTTAAGACTCTGGGAGGATCTTGCTAAACTGCAGAGGGGCTGGGGGAGAGCACTGT